GTAACAATCTTCAGTCTCTTTATGAGAAAATTAATTTCTGAAAAGTCTTACGGATTATTTTATGTTTCTAAAGATATTAGCAAACCTTTTAAAATATACTATTTTAACTCCATGGGAAGTCCTTTGCTCTTATCCTCCAAGGCTGGCCTCATGACATCACTTCCTTTCCTGCAGATTCGGCGTGGATTTTCCTTCCTTGTGTATTTGCCTCATTCACTGATGTGCTCTCTTCTTTATGTTCTCATTTATTGATCCATACAGCCATTTAACAAGTATTTCCAACATGAAGATGAGGGACACAAAGAAATATAGGACATAGTTATTCAACTTGGGGGAAGAGGTTATAATTGAAACATTTGAAATAAGTCAAAAAATATATAAGAACTGTGAGAATTCAGAACAAAAAAAGTAATTTGTTGGCTCAGTTTTTTTTTTTTCTAACAGTATCAGAGTAGTAGTTCTATTAAGGGGCTCTGATTTCTGATATATACATCTTAGCCTTCTCTGGAAAATGATAAAAATGCAGACAACTTAAAAAAAATGAGATAAAATAGTTCCTGTTTGTTCCTATATAGTTACATTGGTATATGTAATGTCAATGAAATTATTGAAGAAAATGCAGTCATTTTAATGGATTCTTTTCTGAAAAACCATAGGATTGAGCCAAGTTTTAAGTAATACACATGTCTCTGAAGTATTAGAAAACCTGTTCATACAAGAAAGATGAAAGCCAACTCCAAATAAAGTATTGAGCTTTCAAAGGAAGCATCATTCACTTTCCAAGTTTCCACTCAAAGTTCCCCCACACTCCTCTTTCTCATTTTCTTCCCTAAATGCATTCCAAAAAGATATTTTAAAAGGTATTGCAGTGGACTATCAGGAAGTGTATTTACTAGTTCCTTCAATGAAATCACTGGAGATAGGGTCCAGCTTTATACTCTGTTAAAGAAAAAAACTTTGTCATGTTTCTTTAAAGCCAATCATAAACTTGGCATGTGATTTTTGTATTTCTTTTATTTTCCACTGTAAACCTTAAAAGTTGAATTTAACAACAACAAAAATGGACTTAGAGGCTCACTTATTTGGGGGGAAAAAGCCCCAGGTTATAGAATTTAAAATTTTATATAACGAGGTGACATTTCAAAGCTTATTTGGGAGGTGTGGTGGCTAGGACAGCCATGGTTCACATCCACTCATTTTAAAATAAGCTTTTAGTTGAAGTAACTGTATTTGTGGAAAATGCGATTTAATAAAATGCGGTATGTTCAAATCCATGTAATGAGAATTATTTGAAAGGTGAGTTCCTTTTATTCCTTATTTATTATTTAAATTCACTTAAATATCTCCAGCTTCTTTATTTTAGTAGCCTAATGGAAATAAAAATTCATAATCCAAATATAGCTTGGTCACTACTGGATAATTGATCTATCCACAGAGACACAGTAGGGTTTGACTTCTCCTTGCACTACAAATTACAATTTTAAGCCTTTTTACCTCAATTTTCCCCCACTCAGTAAAATGGTATACAAATTTTCATCAATTTTATAAAGGATAACCCGCTTGATTTATTTATAGCATTAAGGGTCCTGTAAAATGTGGCACTGAAGTAGAAAGCATTATTTACTGTCTGTTTGCACACATACTTAGATTGACAATCATGTTCAAACTAGTTTGGCTGCTTTGATTGAGTACTAGTTAGTTTAAAAAGAAGAATAAAGCCACAGAAATTATTTTGTTGGTGAATATTTTTTTTGAACTGATTCAATCAGCCCAAATCAGTCTAAAAATTCAAACCATTTAGATAAGAGGAATGAATTGCTAACTCATAGAGTCAAGAAAACAAAACCAAGCATTTCTTCAAAAATATGATTCTAGTCGGTGTTCACTGCTGGGCTGGAAAACAAAATATAAAGGTGCCCCTTCACCCCATCTTTGGCATCCTTTAACAGGAATGTCACTTGCTGTGATTAGTGCCGGGCAAGGAAAGGCACTGTCCTTTCGATCCCAGCACATTTGACAAGTACTGACACTCCAGGCATTCTGTACAATAAAATAAATACATTAGTAAGACCATTTCCCCTTTCATTTCAGCCTAGGCACAAGAGATGGGTTACTTAAAATTCAAGTGCCAGGAAAGCCTATTGTAAAAGGGGAAATATTTTCCAGTGAATTTCGTTTGATCTTTTTTTTATAGGGGCTCCTACCAGCCTCCCTCCTTTCCTCCCCAGGCCCTGGAAACCAATTAGTCGCAGCCCAGAGGCCACAGACCAGGTTGAAATGACTCCTTTTTATTTTTAGAGGATATAATTTCAGCCAGGATGTCTAGGCAGTTGTCACATAGTATACTTAGCACACTTCTCTCTCAAACACATACATTGGCTTTCCCTTCGGAGAATGCATAGATCTTTGAGTCTGACTCCTGGAAAGGAATTAGATCTGGTTGCTGTCCCAATCTTTCAGCCCTGACAATGGCATAACATCACAGGGCCGCCTCATCTTTCACAGACAACCTCGCCAACCAAGTTTTCTGTCTTCTAGCATTTCAGCGGCGTTTCTTTTCCTTACGTTGTTCGCTTGCTGTTCTGAAAGCCTTTTCTTCCACAGTGTCCAAAGTAGCAAACTGGACTAACTTTGATTTTTAAAATATTTTTGAATTGCTTATCTTTTGGGGAAAATTTTGTCCAAAAGACAAACATGGAAACAATCTGAGTCTTTGCCTTCCCTCACCTTCCCATCCCGAACCTGACTTAATTCATGGAGGTGAAAAAAATGATCAGCTGGGTTGGCCTTTTATTTCACAGCAACATTGCAGAGAGAAAGAGGTGAGAGAGAGAGTGTGTGTGTGTGTGTGTGCGTGTGTGTCGCGTTGGAAGGCTTGGGGAAAGAGAGCACAGTTCTCCCCCAGGAAAGCCTCAACCAGCAGTTGGGAGGGAACCTAGGGTCGCCTTCCTTGGTCTGAGCGAAGTGTCCCAGCCGCTCCCCTTGTCCCCGCGGCGAGCCCTGCGCCCTGGCACGGTGCCAGGACTCCTGACAGCGCCTGGCAGGTCGATGGGTGGGGGGCCTGGGTGTTCTCTTTGAAGAAGACGCCCATTTCGGGGGAAGCTCTCTTATTTTCCTGGGGCACCGTAGCCCGCCCCCCTTCCACTATCATTTTTTACGCTGATCACACTCATGATGATGAACTTGCAGCTCAGCTTCCTGCCGCCTGCTTGACCCAGGAGCACCAGCAGGCTGCCGGCCTCGCCCTCGGCTTCCTCCTCCTCTCGAAACCCCGGGGCCTCGGGACACCGGTGGGGGTCCGAGTGGGCCGGGACTGCAGGAGCGGCGTGCAGGGGCGCGGGGTCCCGCCGGGGAGCGCGCACGGAGCGGCGCCTCGGCCGCCCTGCTTCCTGGAGCTGTGCTCCTTTGACCCCAGTGGCAGTCCCTGTCACTGCACCGTTCGCGCTCCCTCCGGCTCGCCGCGCCCTCGCTCCCTCTTCTCGCCCCCTCGCTCGCTCTCTCCCCAGACTGAGGCTGCTCGGGTCCTTCCTCCCCCCGCTTCCCTCTCGCGCCGCGCCCCCCGGCCCCCAGCCCCAGCCCGCGGCGGGACCTCCGGGGTCGAAGGTTCTGGCCCGCCCGCGCCCCTCGCCGCCCCCGCGCGCCCCCCGCGCTGCTCCGGCAGGCTCCGGCCGCTCGGCGATGGATCGCCTGCTCGCCGGGCGCTGAAGGCATCCCCGGGACCCGGAGCGCAGCCCGGGAAAGGTAATCCGCCCCGGGAAGGGAGGCGGAGGGCGGGGGAGGGGGAGGAGGCGGCCGGGAGCCCGGTGCCGAGCGCGAGAGGAAGGGAAAAAAATGCACACACAAAGCGGAGCCCGGGTGAGAGGTGCCTTGTCAGAGGCGCGTGCTAGGGGCTCCGAGGCTGCGGACCGCGGCTGCCCCGTGCCCCTGACATCCGCGCGGGCGGGCGCCTCCCGCGCTATTCGGGACCCGGGGAAGGCTTATTTTCACCCCCTGAGCGAAAGCGAATTCGTTTTTAGGAGCTGTCTTCCCTCCCACTCCCCATCTTGCCCCTCTTCTCTGCTCCCCTCCCCCTTAGCCATCAGCCCCCCGACCTCTTGGGGTCCCCACCTTTCTGCCCCTTCCTCCGCCGGGATTTCTTTGGAGGAGAGGAGGGGGTGTTGGCGAGAAGCTTCGGCTGAAGCCGGGCGGCGGGATTGGGGGTGGGGACGAGGGCTCGGCGAGCTGTTTACTAGAAAGTCCCGGGGTTATGTGTTCGAGCCGCCCCGGCCTAGGCCCGGGTGCATTGTGTTGGCCCGATCCCCGGGCTCCCGCGGCGGCCCGAGGCCAGGTGCAGCGACTGGGGGGCAGGCGCGGCGCAGCTTTGTGCTCCGGCTGCGCCCCGGGGCCGCCCGCGCGCGCGCCGCTCTCGCTCGGGGCGGCTTCCCACCCCGGCCCCGCGCCCGACCTCACTCTCCGCCGCCGCCCCGCGTCTCCGCGACCGCAGCCTGCGGAGCGACCCGGCGACCCGGGCTGAGGTCGGGGCTGGGCGGCCGGGCACGAGCAGCGAGAAAAAGTAACCGCTGCCGCTGGATTTCTTCTCCACCGAGGCAGGAGTTTTCTTTGCTATTTACGCGTAACAAGGTTATCTTTGTAAAAGCCTTTGAATTCCAGGGTTTTGCGGCCTAGGAGGTGAAGGGGGTATTTTCCTGGAGGTTCGGGAGCAGGCTGGAATTCAGCAAGAAAATAAATTAAGGATGCCCCCAGTGAGGCTGATTTATAGCACATCTCGCCCCCCCCACCCACAACACACCCCAAACGAAGTGCAATTGCGGGCCATGAAAAAATGTGTAATTGATTTGAGATGCTGCAAACAAATAAACACAAACAGGTCAGGGCGGAAAAAAAACAAGCAAAACTTTAAGTGAAAGAAAAGATTTCAGAAGAGGAGGGGAGCCCGCGGCCTCCACACCCCCTTCCAACGCTCGCCGGCTCCCTCCCTTCCTTTCTCCGCCGCTCGCGGGAAGGAGCCCGGCTGCGCCCGGCCAGAGCCGGGAGGCGGCGGCGGCGGCTCCGGGTTCAGGGATGCCAACGCGCCCTGGAGGCTGACGGCGGGGACGTCGGTCTGTGATGCCCGACCCAGGATGGCGTGGTGTCAGAGCTATTGGCCGCTGGTGGTCATCAATCAATCCAGGGCTAGGGGAGAAGGAGAGAAAAAAGACAGGCGTCCGGCGGAGCCCGGGGCGGCGAGCGCTAGCGCCCGCTGTGCCAGCAGGAGCGGCGGCTACGAAGGTGGCGACGGGGGACTGAGCGAGGAAGGCGAGCTGGTGCTCTTGAAGGAAGGGGGCGAGGTGGCTGGGAAGAGCTGGGCAGGGCGTGTGTGTGTGTGTGTGTGTGTGTGCGTGTGCGTGTGTGCGTGTGTGTGTGTGTGTGTGTGTGCTGAAGCATCCCCCCCCCACCCAACTGCCCACCCTGGATTTAAAGCAAACAAACCAATCCAAAGTAGAGAATTCCGCGCCCCCCACCCCCGCCCCACCTTATATAGACTCCACGAGTTGCCAGGGGCGCAGGAGAAAAGTCTTGCCCTCCCTCTCCCAAAGAATGTGCCCGCCGGGTGTCCGCAGTGCTGGAGACAAGTTCAGGTGTAAGTGCAGTGTGGGGGGGGGGCGCTCTGTGGACCGAGGCACGTGGAACTTTGTGTCGGCATCCCCCCAAAACCTGGCGGAGAAGCCGCCGGGAAGGCGTGTGGGCATCGCTCCCAGATACAGGGATGAGTAGCTGGAAGTGGGCATAAAAGAGTAGGGGCGTGAGTTGAGGACGCACTCGATCCGTGCGGCAGGAGGAGCAGAGAACGCAATTTGGCGGATTTGGAGCAGGCAAGTTCCAAAGTCCCGCCAGACTGTCGGTCGGGCGATCTTCTTGGGGCAAGCGATTAAAATGAGCATCCTCGTTTAAACGAGGAAATCGCGGGCTCCTTTCTCATAGGCTGTGCCGGGCAGTGCACCGGTAGAGAGGTCATGAGTTGTTGCTTTGAAACTTTTGGTAAATTGGACTTCTCATGCCTAGGAGGTGGAGACAGTTATTTAATTCCTCAGCTTTTAATCCCTTCAGTGCCAGCCGACCTTAAAAAGGTTTTCCAACTCGATTCCTGGAAAAGAACATTGCTAGTTGTACAGCTTAAGGGACAGAAGTGATTGCTGTCTAGGAAATGCAAAATGTGCTCACATTTTTTTTTTTAAAAGAGAAAATCAAACTAGCACCAGCATGAATGTTTGGCAGTGTCAGTTCCTTTTAGATTTTTCTTTAGCTTTCTTGGCATTTTGTGTTGGGTTCCTTTGTTATGTGGAAGAAGTGTGTCGAAGTATAAGGTGAAAATTAAAAAAAATGAAAAAGAATACTGCTGTCTTTAAATACTGTATGTAAAAAGTTAATGTAAGTGTGAAGAGGGTGAGATGCACCAAATGATCATTTGGAAGGTTTTACTGTCTAAATATGTGAAGTGAGGTCATATAAGCTTCTTGATAGTTTTAGGCAGTGTACCTTTCTGTCTTGTTTCAAGCTTTCTTCCAATTTCTCAGGTTAAAGGAGGTGCTTTTGCCCATTGTCCCCGTCTCTGAGAATTTACAAAATACTCCTAGTCTTTTCTATGTGTTTGTGTTTAGTATTCTTAGAATATGTTCATTTTGAGATGTGGGTGGGTGGGTGGGGTGAACATAGCATTTTAAAAAATAAGTCTTTTCTTGACTTGTCGGTAAAGGTGCTATGAAAGTTTTGAAGCTCTCTGTCTCAGTCTGACATTTTCTTCAAAGGACTCTAGATTAAAGAAGATAGGCGCTGCAGGTGCACTGTTTCGATAAAACATTTGAAAGGGAACATGGTAAAGATGAATTCAAATGAGGGGCCAGCCACCCATTTAGCCCTTCAGAGTGGCAGGGGCCTGTGCTTGCTGATGAAGAGATGTTCTATTTGTCTTGCTGGGGCAAAGGTGCAAAAAGGCATAGATGTTCACTGGTAGAAAAGGATGACTTTAGGGCAGAGCACACCATTTAGGAGTTCGAATTGGGTCACTTTCTAAGTTCTGTCTCTTCTCAGCACCAAATGGGAGAACTTAGGAGGGCATCATGCTAACTACCATAAGTCATTGCATAGCTATTAAAATATTATGTATGTATATTTTATTTCTAGCCCACATTTTGCTTAGTTTAATTAGCCAGTTTACTCTAGAAACATTTAAAGTCTTTCTGGCACCGGGCACAGAGGTTGTTACTCAGAGGTCACAGTGGTCTAGACATGAATTTGTTTTCCTTTGCTTCTTAATGTTCTGTATTTCACACAATAGACATTGATGGAAGAAGGAACATAAGAATTGCCAAGTAATTTTTACACCACTCTCTAATTTATGCAAACACTAAGTTCTTGCAGTCTGAAAATGTGTATTTTTTTCCCCTCTGCGCTTTGATGGCTAACATTCTTTTTAATGACAGTCATTTCTATAACAGGAAGATGTTTTCATTTGTATTTACTTTTCAGTGCCACGCAATTATGCAGTTTTGCGCTTCAGTAGTGTCTCGGTACTTTGTGTCTCAAAAGAGAATTACAGTACTTAGAACAGGACTGCAATTTGAAGCAGGTGTTGTGTTTTACTGTTATGCAAAATAACAGTAAAATATAATTGTGGGGGAAATTAAGGAAACAGCTGCAAACTTGGTATGAAAACTGCTACATTATGATTTGTAAGCAGTTCTTATAGATATGGTACATCAGAGGAGCAGGGAAAGATTTTAATTTAGTTAATCCTACTGGCCTGGTTGTCTATCAACTGGTGCTTAAAGGACTCATACCTCCCATGAAGTCAGGAAGAAGAAAGAGAACCCAAAGTGACACTTTGTTTAAAATGCCAGAGCACCAGGGATTCAGCTCTTGGCAGAGCAGTTGTACATTAGGGACACAGGCAAAGTGGGTGTTATTTAGCTTGCTTTGCTAATATGAAGAAGGCAATGATTTAAGTGGAACACTCTGGAATTTCTTAGCCCAGCTAGCATATGGAGGACTACACAAGCCCCGGGTTGTAAAATAATAAAATAAATGGCCTATGGCAGGCCATCTGCCTTTTGCTCGATATTTAAGGTGTTTCGTGCCAAATTTAAATCTAATCTTATTATTCTAAATATTTTTATTTGAGATAGCAGTTAAGATTCTTGGAGCTTAATGATGCACATGGCAAACCTATTCTGATGCGGAGCACTTCAAGTGAGAGTGTGGGTTACCCCAGGGTTGCCCAAGGAGTGGGCTTACTCTTCTCTATGGCACTGATCAATTGTAACAGCTTCGCTGCAAAGGATTTGCTTTCCTCAGTCTTTGCACACCTGCCATAAAAGCAGACATCTTCATTTCTCAACCCAGTGCGGCAAATAATATATTGACATTTATAAAAGGAATCAGAGCTAATGGAAATGTTTTAAAAATGAAACCAACTAGTGCGAATTATGCAGCACCAAGAATAAGGTGGCGGATGGAACGGCCGCCCTCCCTTACGGCTCCATCCGGGCTTGAAGAGGGGAGGTAATGGATGCTTCCAGAGTGGTGGTCCAGACCCGGATGTGTTTGCCTTTCCCTTCAGTGACTGGAATGTTTAAAGAAATTACGCTCCATTTAGTAACAAGGATTTGCCCTGCCCTAAAGTTCTTGGCTAGAGAGGAATGCATATACATCCGAGGCATGAAATACCTATGTATTTTGGGAGCTGTGAAAGAGAAAATTCTGTGTAATGTGTGTGTATTGTGTGTGCTGTAGTTATGCACAGGTATCAGTTATAAGGTCAGCATTTTAAATTTATACTAGACATTGTGTTATATGGCTGTTTTAAGCATTGAGCTTTCAAATGATTATGTGACACCAACTTTGTAAAGACTAAACATTCCAATTAGCAGGGAGCACAAACTTCGAGCACAAACCATTTATAGCTAGACACCATGGCAACTGTGGATATGCCCCTTTCGTAATCCACATTAAGTGCTATAATTATAATTAAGGAGGAAATCTTAGTTTGAACTCCATTGAGATGATTTGCTAGCACCCAGCAATGACATATAGAGTTTAATGTCCACTTTGAAGTGCACGAAGTATCTGTGAGATGACAACATGTATTCAGATTTTCCCTGAACTAATTTCATGTCTAGATGTCAAATTTAATGTCTTTTAGAACACTCTTTTTCTCTTTGTTCTCATTTTATACACACACACACACACACACACATACATACATACACATATATATATATATATATATATTTTTTTTTTCTTCCAGAAACGCACAGCAGTATTGATGAATAGATCCTTGGATTCAGAGGTTGGCTGAAATGCACCATGCCTGCTTCCATCTTTTGCTCTGAAAAGTTGTGAATTGCTCATGCCTATAGGGAGGAAGGATGGCACATGGGATTCCTTCTCAAGGCAAAGTTACCATAACGGTGGATGAGTACAGCTCAAACCCCACCCAGGCGTTCACACACTACAACATCAACCAGAGCAGATTCCAGCCACCGCATGTACATATGTAAGTATCGCTCATGAACTTGAATCAGAAATAAAATAAGAAAGAAAGGCATTCACTAATGACTTTTTGGGGGGAGAATAATACGGAAATGATTTGCAAAGCAGATGTATCTGTGGTTTCGAACATAGCACAGGAGGAATCCCTTATATCTGTGTAACAGTTCAAATTTTTGGAGCAATTTCCACCACTGTTTGACATTAGATCCTCAGAGCCTCTGAGGGGTGGTGGTAGGTTGTCCGCATTTTATAGTTGAGAACAGACAAGAACAGAGAGGTTAAGGTATTTGCCTAATGTCACACAGTGAATTTTGGCCAAGTCTCCTGACCCTGAGTTTCATTGCTTGACCTTGTATTGCTTGCTTCCATACTGAAATATTTCTTTAAAATTTATGTAGTTTTTCCCCCACACCTCACCTCACTACCCCTTTACATTCAGCTGGGAAATAGGCCTAATTGGGACTAATTGTCCAGCTACTGCTAGATCCATTGTCTTGCCTGTTGCTAGTGAGACGTGTGCTGCATGCTGCAGGACTCAAACAATATGGGAAACAAAGGATTAAGGGACAGTGGAACAGTTGGTTCCAGGAATTGTACTTTTCTCTCACTCCCTAATACTATTTAAGTCATGTCGAGGTTTAAACCGTTTAAGGAACAAAGTGTGGGAGAAACCCAGAGGCAAGGATTTTGCAGCACCTGGTCGCACACCAACTTTTTTTCTGGTCTTCTGCTACAGGATGTGCTGGGCTTTCAGCAGAAGGGGGTGAAAGGTCACCATCTCCCTCGTTCATTCAAGGCCTGACGCTCATTCTCTATGAGACCCTGCCAATGTCTAACATGAGTCTTTCATAGTAGGACTAAATCTCTTTGAAAACTATTGTATAGTCAACATAGAAAGGAGGTTATGGCTCTGTTGACTGTTTTTACCACTCCTGGAAGAATTGAACTCGGGGCATGTCCAATTCACAAGCTCTTTTTTAGTAATTGTTTTTATGTGGGCATTTAAAAAATTTGTAGGACCTCCCCACCTCTAACACACACACACAAGCCCCCCTCAAATTTAGAAACACTCACCAAACGAAAAAGTCTTTCTCTGGATGCCTGGATATTAGTGTAAATACTAGAATGTTGCTTTGCAAGTATATTCTGGAAAGCCACTATGAAGACATTTCTGCACAATGGCCATGTGAAAACAGCATGCTTAAACAAGAAGAAGAAGAAAAAAATAAAATCCTTGCAAATGGTTAGTGTTAAAGTATTCTAAGAACTTTATACTTCATTTAAATCAGAGTATGTTCGTGATTATGAAGGATTGTTAACATGATTTTAAGGAAAAGTTTTTAAGGGAAATAAGATTGTTTTTGGTTAAAATGGCTTTCTGAACAATAAATATGTGTTCACTTCAAATATTCTTTTTATTCTTCTGTTTCTGTTTGTTTTCCATCAAATATGTCACAAAATGTGTACAAGCTCTGATTTAAGATATCTTTAGCTCTGTTTTGCTGGTGTGACGTTTTGTATTAAAGAATCACAAAGAACTTTGTGGATCCTGTTTCCAATCAGGCAAAAGAAAGTATGTTTTGTCCAGATTCCTCGGAAAATGACTGCTGGGGAACTTGAGCTTAGTCCTCAGTTCTGCAGACATCTGCTCACTCGTTCTCGGCCGTAAGATTCCACTGGCGAACTGTGAATGCGCAGGGATATTTTAAAAATCATGTAACCTTAGAACCGATCTGCTTACATCTAGCCATGACCAATTTGAAGGATCAAATTATACCTCTTTTGAAAAAATGCCTTGAAAAATGGGGTTTGCAATGGCAACTTAGACAGCTGTGTAGCCTTTTTACCAGACTCCTGCCTTTGGAATAGAGGGTTCTTGCACAGGCTGGTTCCACTGTGCCTTTTCACTTTTTATTACCAGTGAGGGCTTCCTGCCTGAACCCTCTGCTCCAGCCACACAGGTTGACCCACTGTCTCCTAAGCCTGGGACCTTTCCTCTTGGTGCCGTTGCCTTCACTGTTTCTTACAGCTGTGACACCTTTATGCTCTCTCTGCTCATCAATGCCTCAAAGCCAGTTTAGTTCCCTTCATTTCCTATGAAGTCTTTTCTGCCTCTCCCTTCCCAATCCAAAATGATTGTGCACGCCCAACACCACACCCCTAGGTACGTGGCATTCACTTTATACTACTTCCAGTATTATTTTCCTTCATCTATTTGTCCATCTATATCTTATCCTTTCGTCTACATTGTTTACTTCTTAAAGCAGGGATTGTGCTTCTGAGCAGGTGACAGATGCTCAGAAATATTGATTGATCGATCTATTGATGACACATTGAGCTGAGAAATTGTAATTGATGCTTGAAGATTTTCACTGGAATTTTTCTGGCAGGTCTTGACATTTTGAATATTTGCATGGAGGTACGGCTGCTGGCTCACCTTTTCCCTGGCTTTAGTTTTTCTTGCTAGTGACCATGCTATTGTTCTGTAGGGCCAATGACCTAGCACAGTGATTGGCCCATAGTAGGTGTTCAGGTATCTTGACTGGATGCAATCATGTTGTATTTCTGTTATGTTAAAATATTTGTCCTTAGTATAAATAGAAACTTAAATTGGTTAGAAAATATCTATAGAATATTTAGTTTAAAATTTCCTCAGCTTTTCTGAAATTTTCAGCATGTCATGGCAAAGCTTTGGTCCTCTCCCTTAAAGACATTTTGTCTTTTCCACTTGCATAGTTGCTCATTTATTTTGCACGGGATTCTTAAAACATTTGCTTTCCTTTTTCACTTACACCTCAGGTCTCTGAAGACCTGTGACAGATTACCTGGATTGGAATTAATCCTTGTCCCTTTAATAATCTCTTGTTTTCTTTAGGACAATTTAGTGGTGGTAGCTGGCGTTTTCTCACCTTTGTTAGGAATCGTTCACTTTCCACTTAATTCATTAGTCGCAGCTCAGCTTTGTGACTAACCCTGGGCAATTTACTTTTCTTCTCTAAGCCTCAGTTTATTCATCTGTGAACATTTGCACCAAATAATAGTTAAGGATCTTTTCAACTCTGACTTACTAAAATTGCAATTAAGGTAACATTTATTTGTGAGGTGTTGCTATGAAGGGAACAAAAATAAATAAGACCCAGTCTCCATCTTCATGAAGCTCATTGGTAATTTCAGACCTGACATTTCAACCAGCTTTACAAGGTACTGGTTTAGTTTTCATCTCTGAGTTCTGACAAGGCTGCCGCCACCAAGCTCTCTAGGAACGACTGGCTTGAATCTCTGCTTGTTACATAGGGAAGATTTTTTTCTTTTTTTAAAGAAAGCAATCCTATATGACCTTGGGAAAGAAAATTAAAGCACAGCTGGAGTTGGCAGAGCAAATTTAACTTAGAATTTGTGTGCCCTTCTCACCCAGCCTCTTGAACATACTAATAGATGTAATGATTGAAACCTAGCAATTAGCAGGGCTTCATTTTTCCGCAACCCTTTCGTCTTTCCCAAGCAGAATGTTGAGAACATTATTTAGTATTTTTAATGTTCATGGAAGGAGGTGCTGAAGGAGCCAATGTAGATCTGAAAACACCATCAAGATTTTGTATGTTTTTCATGATCTGAGGGCTAATAAAAGACTATAAAACTTCATTAGTAGAGAATCCAGCCATCTCAGTTTTATCATTGAAAGTCCCATGTTATGGAAAACTTGCAGTCCCATGCAAACCAGAATGATTGCTTACTCTTCAGGGGTAATTCCTCATCTTTTTCTTTGAGAACTGATTACTTGGAAGCTTAAACCAAATTTTGTTTTCAGTTTTAGCCATTTTTCTTATCCGTGCCTTTGCTTGTTAACACCCCTGGAATCTTACTTAGCATTTGCTCTTTTACTCGTGTTTTAGGGAGGCAGAGTAACATCACTAGTAAAGTCAGATTATCAGATTTAAAACCTGGCTGCACTACTGACTAGCTGTATAACCAACTATGGATAAATGTCTTAACTTGTCTGTGTTTTCTTTTTCCATCTGTAAAATGTGAATGATAAAAGTAGTGCCTATCTCAAAAGGTTGTGGAGGATAAAAGGATGAAAAAGTATTACATGTGAAATTCTTAGAGGAATGCTTAGTATATGGTCTATACTCAATAAATGTTAGCTATTATCATTAATGATTGTTTTATAGATTCTGTTTTTTTTTTTTTTTTAATTCTAAACTGTCTCAGTTCATTCTGAAAATAAGTGAGGAAATAAGAAAGTCATTGGTAAGTTTTGCCCTGTCTTCCTCAAGGAGGCATTAACAGCAAAGCACCATGGAAACTTTTCTAGATGAGACTTTTGGTTGGCAGGGTTGGCAGGGGCCCCAATTTAACGCCTGTCAAGGTGCTAAAATGTCTAGGAATGTCTCATCTACCTCCACTGACTCCATGGGAGAGGCAATCCCAAGAAGGGAAGGAATCTTGTGAGCCCTGTGTTGCCTGGTTTTCTCTGCGGAATCACAGTGGCCTTCCTCTACCTGGCTGGACCTAGGCCCCTGTACCCCTGCCAATTTCTCAGACTCCCCACCTTTGTGGTTAAAACAGAAACATTGAGAGTTAAGTATAAGTAACCAGGATTGAGTGCAAAGGGTACACACAGCTGGGGAATGAGGACAGTGTACACATGGTAGCTGAAAATGTGGTCTGAAATCAGAGGTCTGTATATGAATGCTGATCCTGCCAGTTACAGGGTTGGTTGGGTGATGATGGAAAGATTGCTGAACCTCAGTCTTCTCATCTGTAAAATGGCTTTAATGACCCTTTAAGATGGTTATGAGCATTAAATAAAATGATGTATATGACATATACAGTGCCTGAAAGATAGCACTTGATAAATAGATGCTGAGATAATATTTATGGTTTTGTCTACTGGCTAGTGAGCATGAGATAAATGAACATCTTCATTTCTAAACTGCTTGGCTATATAAAACCTGACAAACACAACTTGTTTTATTGTTATATTGTTGCATTGTATAGCAT